TATAAAATGATGAGTAAAGAATCTGCATTTATAAATGCAGTCTGCAAATGACCCACTCTGAGGTAGAGTTTTCCCAATGTTATGGACACACAGAACCACCAACACAGTCAAGTCCAGTAGCTTTTATTACACTTAAAATACAACACATAGCTTGAACCTCAATCATCTGGGCTGTCATTGGGAAAAGATTATGAATTAGGTTGGTGTATCATAAAGCTTTATTTGAGATTTTTCAAAGATTTTTCATTTTTCAGAATGTGCGCAAACACCATTCACTAAAAATAAAATCAATTAACAAATTATCACCCAGTGTGTCTTTATCACAAGGATCTGGTCTCCTCTAGTGGCTGATTGGCATTAATTGCAGGTCACGTTTTAGGCTGGCATGTAGATAAAGATACATTTTTCTTAAAGAGATTTGTCATTAAAGATAAAAGAAATGGTTTTCTTTGCACAGGATCTCCCAGCTGAGATGAAATGAGCCTTTCAGCTGACTTGCCTGAAAAGATTGAAGACTGGACCAAAGATCATGTTTATAAGTGGCTGATCAGCAGCCTCGGAGTTTCCAAAGTATATGCTGATCAGCTATACCATGAAGATGTCTCAGGATCAGATCTGGTGTTTTTTGAAATAGAAGATTTGACGAAATTGGGCATTAAGTATGGTCCAGCTGTTAAAATTGTAAAAAATGTGAGACAACTCAAAGTGTCACCAGGAAGAATATTGAAATTCCAAACAGAGGAAGATCAAGATGCTTCCAAAACAATTCAAACAAGTATGCAGACTGCATCACCACACATGTTTCAACAATGTTCTATCTCTAATGAAGAGAAAGTGGTTAAAACAAACATATCACTTGCTTCTGAATCTGATAAGAGTCCAGCAGATGCAATGTGTTTGAAAAACGTGGATATCTCTTTAGGCACAGACATAAAAACAGAATTATTACCCAGCAGAGAAAAAACATACCCAGAAAGTACCATTTTTAAAGAACCTGAACTTGAAGAGAAAGCT